CGATAACGATGATGCGATGCGCGCGCTTGTGCTCCAGCCGGACGATGTTATCTCGGTACCGCCGCTCGAGAACCCGCGGCACCAACAACCAGGTCAATGTTTATGTTATGTTCGAAGACGACGGATACGGAGACCGAGTCTGAGGGTACGACGACGACGACGACGAGTGACGACGAGGACGACCGCGACGTCTTACCGCAGCATATCATTATAATTATATTAATATACACCTAAAAGCGTCTTAATAATAACACATTCCTGCGCAGACGTGCACACACCACAGCACATATAATATCGCAGTGTTTCAGAGAGTAAAATGATATAAAGACAATATCGTGGATATATTATTATTATCTATAATAGTTTATAAGACGGCAGTTCATCAGGGTGTGCTTATGTTCCACGATCGACGAAAACTTTCCACAATATTATATTATATTGTTTTTGGAAATCGCGCAACGAGAATAATATACGGTGTATCGCGTATAGTTGATATTGTAATAATCGCGGACGTGTGGAGAATTTCGCTGTTATTGTGTTTCGCAGTCTTATCGAAGAAATTCTATATGAGAAAGCTCCAACAACGATCATCGGTGTCTCTAAAGTTACGTAACATTTTCGTTCAATTTCAAATCGAATTTTCTGAATGAGCCGGAAAACTTGTGCAGGTTATATAGAGATTGTAATATACAAAACACATTTCAAAAATAGACGATAAGACGATTCCGTTTTTCGTGTCGGTCTTATACACTGCAATATACACGACAAAGGAAATTTAAGAAACCATTCGGTTTTGTTAGTTTTTAGAAATTTAAAATACATATTTATAACGTGCAGTAAGACATCGACAGGTGCGTACGTAGGATGGGGTTTTTATTCGATTTCGGTAAAGGTCTGACCTCTGACCTCTCTCGCAGCAGGCAAAATAGATTGTCATTCTACGTCGGTAGACTTTACGACTGCCTGCCATTATGCTATAATAATATTATAATATCATTACAATATTATTACAGTGTTCTGATTTTGCAGTGAACAGCTGTCTTACTAATAAAAAATAATATTCGTCGTGCGCCGCCGAGTCACAGCAGTGTGTAGGCGCAGTGATCTCGGGTTTTAGGCACAAAAGTTGAACTTGCAAATTAAATATCTAGCGACGCGCCGCATGTTGTGCTAAATAAATACCAGTCTCGCTCTTTAATGAAATTTGTCCAAGGCGAAAAACTTTGAAAATAAAACGCAAGCTGCAGAAAGCCGGTAAAAACAGACCGATTTCTTCGCTCGTGAAAATACTTGACTCTACAAAATGGAAACCTGTAAGAAATGAAGATTATCATAAATATCGTTATAGTATCGAATCGTAAAAATGTACTACCTACCAATAATATATTATATTATACATTTATAGTATAATTATTCCATCATAAAAAAAGTTTCGTTAAATAATCGTAAAATTCACTTTGCGTTGGAATATTTTTTTGGATTTTATTCAAGTTATAGATTAAAATTTTTATAATATGCAACTGTCTTTTCAAAACTTTGTGACACACCGCTTTGAATTTAAATTTATCATGTTAATCTATTATTTTCTTATTTTTAGTAAAATTCAGATTAGTATAATATACATTTAAATAAAACCTATTACCTATTTCTATACCTAGATAGTATTTATTGCATTACAACGTTTGTAATTTTTAATTTCGCGAACGTTAAAGAATATTCTCGCGAAAACGTGATTGCAGCCAAATTGAACTCAAATAATAATCATCCGAATTAATTTCAAATTTGTATCCGATTTATGAAAATAAAAACACCAAAAACATTGGATTTTACGTTTCAAAGAGACATTAAACGGTCAAAATCCTTCCACACTCGTCGTCGGCAGTCATTTGTCACCAACTGTTTATTCAATTTGACTAAAAGTCAGTGATACACAGTAATTATAAATACAATAATTAAATATTTTTCGGTGACAGCGAAATATCACACGGCAAAATTATAATGTACCTTACCGTTTTTGGCAGTGGTGCCTAAAATATGCCCATTTTATTTTTACCAGAGTGAGCTGCATTTTTGAGGATCATTTTTTTCTCACCACCAAGACCTTTTTTAGTCCTCCACAACGCCTACCAGAAACACACACACACACACACACACACACACACACACAGAAAAATAAAAAACGATGTCAGTTTTAATAGCTATGGTAAATCTATAAAACTGCATCGGCGCAAATGTGATTTTATGGTGCGATTATTAAACGCGGAAAAACAGATGATGAGCGGAAGCACGACCAGCCCACCCCTCAATTGGTGAATTGGGACCGTCGAAAATCGGACGCGAGCATTCGACAATTATTATTATTATACCTACCTACCTATACCATGCTCGCGGTACATAACCGTTCGCATATTATCATTATTATTTATTATACACTATATTATTATAACGTCGTTATCGTTATAATATACCTAGGTACCTTGGTGTTTTGGCCATCGACCCCGTGACTAACTCTCCGTGATAATGCCGCAAATTAATAGGTATATACCGCGCGTTTTGTATAGTCATAATAATATGAACTATAACACTGCTGCAGAATATATACGTGGTATCTATATCGTGGTTATCGCATTTGATCGCCGTGAACTGTTTTATATGCATATATATTATAATATGTATATAATATTATATTATATAATGTAACGTCCGTATAATATTATTATTATTATTATTATATTACCGCGGTGTTTAGGTACCTATCTATATATAAATATATAATGGCAATACAGACTTCTGGTCGACCTCACTTTCCGACGATTTCCATAATGTTTTCTCCGGTTCTCGTCGTACTGTAATCAGGTATACTCGATAGTTGTACGCCTATTACTATAATAGTGCGCGTCAAGTAACCACCTGAGCGATCAAGTCGACGGACGGCGTAGGATCGATGACGCACAACAATTCGAGTGAGAACGCACACAAATTGAAGTCAATACCGTTGCTATTATTTTTCTCCTACCTATAGTCACCAAAAAGTATACCTAGGTCATAATAATATTATGCTATGGACGCGCGTTAGTAGTATACCCACTCGACCCGACAAAAACGAAAATAAACTAAAAAATCGCACGGATATTGCTGTTGGCGAAATACAAAGAATATAATTTGAAATTATATCATTACCAATATTAACATTATGTGGGCGAGCGCCATGTCACGGTCCGTTCCGTAACCGTCAATTATCGTCATTATTGAATAGCTGCTTTTGGTATCAAACGTCATCCGAGCATGCTGAGAATGAAATAATATTATGAAATCGTTTTACGAATAATTCTCGGTTCGTCGCGACAAGAAAATCTATACACAGTACACACCATTAAGACGCGTATCTGATGTCGTTTCACGGGAAGATTCATTAGACGACGGGGCTAATTATTATTCCGAAATGAATAATTGAGGGCGTTTGTTCAATTGGTTTCGCGACCGCCTACCACGAAAGCCGTTGTAAATCTTGCGTGACAACCATGCATGTATATAATATAATATGTAACGTTATCTAAATAATATGTATGTGTGTGTGTACTTACACTTAGCGAAACCGTTTAAAAGCAAGTCCGTACGCTCTCCGTAGCAGTCAAAATGATGCGTGTGTCATGCGCAACTTGCAAGACGCACACACTTAATAATTATTGCAGTTGATATCTATCGAATCGAAATTAATATATCATAATATTATACTGAACAGTGTAACAGAAAGACCTCACAAATAAAAAATTGATATTAGTTAAAACTTAAACGAAAGAAAAAATTTTGAAAATTATCTGGTTAGTAAATAATTTAAGATTTAATTATGTCTAAAAGTTTACAAAAATTATATTTTGCGTTCGAGTTTATTAAACTCCAAAATATATTAATGTTTTAAAAACTAAACTACTTGACAAAAAACGTTTTTACTAAAAATGTTAGCTGATATACAAATTGGCTATTGTAAATTTTTTCCAAAAAAATCTAATAAAACTTAATTGCGTTATTTGCGTTATTCAAAAATAAAAATTAATAATTATACATTTATACTATATTTGTAGCACACGTGTCTATACATTATGTTGAAAACAAATAAATTTAAATATTTATTAGAACAAAAGCTATTTCATAATATGTCAGCTGATCGTTCTGTTACACCTTGTATACATAATATAATATAATAATTGTACAAACACTTCATGGTAGATGGAAAATTCAATGAATACACGACATGAGATTGAATCACGCTTCTGTGTAGTAGAGCTTGGTTGGCTGTCGGGGGGTTGTACTTTTTCGAACAAACTTATAATTTTTCCAAAAGACGTTTAAGTCAAGTATATATTAATATTATAAACCGTTCAATAACACCGTTGTATAGGTACTGAACATTTTTTACCTCTTCGCATTTCCTGCAGCACTATCCACGTACATAACTTCACTATATATTTTTAATAAATTCAATCCTTGACGTCATGTACGACTGTAGTGTGTATAACAAAGAGCGTAATGCCGCAATGCCTATAACTTTGGTTTTGTGTAATGTGCTGACGACAACTTAATATAATATTATTTTTCGAAAGGAAATCGCACGCTGTACACACAACCCTCACCGCGTACACAGCTATTCAATTTTACCGAAAACGAAACGATAATAACGTTTATTTTTCCATTATCATTATAATCGAGTTAAACAAATTGAAATAAATTATACTGCAAAAACTTCATGGTTCACCACTTCTGCAACTCGAGATACGCGATAAAACTATTTGGAGAAACATGGCTTTTTTTATTTCATTTTCAAAAGTCGTTTTAATAACTCCGTAATAATTATATATTATCAAGTACATTATAATATACTATGCTTTAGTAATCACTAATGACTAATTATGTATATATGCAATGTACCTACCTACCTACTTAAACCTAATATGAGTTTATATTTAATTGCTATAATTTGCTTTTTTGTATTTTTGTTTCAGTGTTTATGCAATGTCAAAGAAGAGGCCGCTCAAAACCAAAAATTACAAATAAATCTTTTTAACACGATCCTTTTAATATATATATATAAAAAAATTGTATTTTCTACGTTCCCATTATTATACTATATAAAACATTATAACGCATTATATTATTATATTATATACCTATACGTCTTTGTATTTCGGTCGATTAACTTATAATAATAATTATTTTTTTTGTATAGAAATATGAATATTTTAATGTTAATTTTAAGTTTTCCCGTTGGATTTCTAGTCAAAATTCTCGCGTACACACACTATTATACTATTATACTATTATTATAACATTCGTGTCACAACAATTATAGGTAGGTAGGTACCTATTGTAAACCATTCTATAGCCCAGCCATATTATTATTTCGTTATCATTATCGTTATGGTTATTGCTGACCATATGCCATATATATGCTTTGGCACCGGCACACTGAAAAAGCTATCACCACCCTTAAACGCCGCCGTTTATGCCATGACGATCTTCGCACGACTCGGGGTATATTACGGTCAGCATTGACGTCAGACCAATCGGCGAGTCACGGCTTCAGCGAAAGAAGATAATATAGAGGAATCATTATTATTATTATTATTATATTGTATATTGGTGTACAATATACATTACGCGTGCGTGTGTGTACAGTCATACACTTGACGGAATATTGTAATGTGACTGGGCGGCGATGTGAGGGAACTATTTTCTTTTGTTTTACTTGAGCTCCGAACAAAAAAAAAAAATTCCTATAGTCGTCGTGGTCCACTTCCGAGTTGGGAATTAAAAAATCACTATGTGTATTCCGCACAGATAATAATAATATTCGCTCCAATATTTCTATACTATACGCAAACGTGTGCATCTGCATTATAATGTGGTGGTGGTGGTCTATTCTTCGGCGCACCGTTTAGCAAACCTAAACAATAGCGATAATGATAATGATAACGATAGTAATAAATAAGTTCATAGACGTGTGCCAACGCACACTCTGCGTGTACTGAACTTTGACGTATACCCCAGTGCTTCGTTTTGTGTTGTTTTTGTCGACATATTTTTTCCCCATAATATACGAATTTCAGTATAATAATAATAAATAATAACAATTATATCTCAACAATGTTTAAATAAAAATAACTCGAATTTTTTTCAACACTGTCGTACATTTTACTATAATATTGCAAGATAATATAATAATGACATGATATTATTATTGTTATTATACCTACAACTGATATTATAATTATTGTAATAAGCGCATTGGTTTCAGACTTTCTTTTCTACTCAACCAGGCGATCTAGTCATGTTAAATACTTCATTTTATATAAATATATAACATAAATTATATATTCTCAGCTGTGATAATATATTTAATATAATTTTTAATTTGTATCGATTTTTCGTGTATATTTTTTTGACCCCGTGAAATGTATTGTGTATCGTCAAGTTTAATGAAAACCGAATACATTTTGTGTTAAGCCAACTTTGTCAAATTTTTGTATAGACTTTTTTTTTTATTATTATTATTATTATTATTATTAATTTATTTATTACTTTGTATATTTTGTCGTTATTTATCGTACAATATAAAATAAATGTTCATTCAAACGTGTTTTGATTATAATTTATTACAATAATAGCGTAAACAAAAACAAAAACAGCAGCAATAACAACAACGTTGAATCGGCATCGGCTCATCTTTATATTATTGTTGTAGTGTAAGTATAAAGCTTTTGGTTCTATTGTTATACACGGCACCCATCGTTCGGCGGTCATCGATAAGATACGTCCAAAGATGGCTTTTTATTTTAAAGCACTATACTGTTTCAAGAAATATTTTATTTCAAATTTTCAAGGATTTTCCGTTAGTATTTTACATGTCTTAATGAATATAAACAATATACATCTTCATTGCACAGCGAATATAGATAGGCACCGTACGGCTTGGCTGGTCATTACAACCGTGTCAGTATGCCATCGTTGTATTAATATTATTGTCGGAATTTAATCGCATTGATTCATTATCATTAATATATATATATATATATGACTATAGGTCAATATTATTTAAATTCAAACACGTTTTGTTAGGAAATAATATTTATTATTTCGTAAAAATTAATATTAATATTGATTACCGCACTATAGTTGATTGGAAAAAGTGCAAGCATTGTTAAAATAACAAAATATTATATTCAAACTACATAATAATATGTAGTTTGAATTTATAGTCTCAAATATTAGATTTATTTCTATTATATTATTATAATATAGTGAATACATATTATTATAAATGTATTAAGGAGCAGACCGTGGTTCCTTCAATGTATATATTATATACGAATAAAAAAAAATAATAGCTAGCACAAACTTTTTAAAAGTTACAAATGCACTGTTAATTTTTCTAACTTGAAAGTAAATTACCTACTTGAAATCTAATTATAGCCATTTCTCTGACAGGCAGCTATGTTATTAATAATAAAAAAAAAATAGTTTAAAGAAGTTGAATATGGTTGGTGTGTTTCGCGCTAAATAAAAAGAACCGAGTGCACCTCCTATGCGAGAGCCAAACTTCTCAGATTATATGAAGTTGGAAAAAAAAGTCTGAAAAAAGTTCAAACAAGGTACTGAGCAAAATCATTTTAAATACTGGAAAATAATGGCATTTCGTTGACTTGGATTCGAATTAGTAGATTTAGCCGTCTTGCATATGAATCGGAACAATTAGAGTGGATGTGGTTTGGCATTTTGCTTCCGGTTAATTTCAACCCCACGCCAATTTCTATTGCATAAATATTATAAACAGTGCTGTAATATTAATATCTATGAGCTACGGTAAGTTATTACGAAACTACGAAAGTCATTAAAAGCTTGGTAATTGTGTATGTTTACTTTTAAAATATTTAGTTTTAAAAGAGCTTGTTAGGTTAAAAATACTCTTTGAGAACTTTTGGAAAGTGTTTTATGAACAAAAAAGTTGGACAAAATAATATTATAGAAATCGCGTGTTAGGTTAGGTTAGCGTTAGGGACTTAAGAGGAACTCGTCAACTATCGTTCTCACCTTATAGCACCACAAGGAATCAATAAAAAGAAGTCTCATTAAAAAAACAATTCTCATGGGGGTTACTCGGTTGGACCTTCGTTTCGAAATTCATTGAATTAAACCATATAATATACCAAATTAATTTACATTGTGGTTCAGTTTACATGTCATGAATCGTGCACAAATCTAGGCTTCGGTTTAAATAAAATCACTTTTAATAGAGCCAATTTAATATTTGTTTATATTAAACTATGAAGCACTGGCTCCTAATTTTTTACAACGGGTGTCAACCCAAGTTTTCTAAAATTTATTTTGGATATTTTTAAAGTGATGGTAATAAGTAATAACTTTCTTAAGTTTCTTTAGACCACTGAGACAACTATTATTTAATCTTATCATTTTAGTTTTGAATTTTGTTCTTACTTGATTTTTCTAAGCCTCTGCGAAAAAAATTTCACCTCTAAATAACGGTGTAACCGTGAAAATTTACTTCAGTGATATTTTACCCCTCCAAAGGTAAACAGGTAAACAGTACAAATTTCGCTAGTGAATATTTTCCAGGGGGTAAAATTTAACTGGGTCAAAATACACGGTTTCACCGGCACCCACGTATTTACCGAAACGGGAACAATATGATTTTTAAAGGAACTGAAACTGAAAAAATCACTAAGGTTCGCCTTGTTTTTAAATTCAAAAAACTATGCTTCTCGTTACACTCAGGAGTCAGAATCTAAAAATGGGTAAAATACATATATCCTAGTCGACAAAAAACTATTATTAATATTATTAGGTTTATAAGAGCATAAAATCTGATTACATGTTTTGCGATTTTTAGATATACAAGTGCTCTACCATAATTCTCATGAAATAATTAAGTGTCAAATCGTTATAATTATTGCTGTTATTAATAACAATAAATTAAAGATTAAAATTAAAAAATTGACCAACATAATACACCATAATAATATTGTAGATAAACTTTGGAAAGTCGATTGCTGTCTATGCAAACGAGCTTCGTTCTAACATAAAATGCCTGCTTTACATTTCGACATGATGTATTGTTGGTTGGAAGAAAATATACATGGAAACTTTTACTCACGTATCAGTGAGCGGCCATTGCTATACACGTTGTACTTATCCGACCATTAGATTCAGCACACGACTATTTATAACTTTTAATGCCTCTTTTTCCATAATATTTAAATGTATAGTTAACAGCATCTTAAGTAATAAGAGTTAAGAGAACACTACACAAGGATGCGTTGTCTAATGTCTCCGTTTTTGAAATGCATACCTACGTAAGTCACTACATATTTTGTGTTTATCGGTTCAAATGTTTTGCAGTACCTAAATTACTGTAAAGAGTAAATTAATAAATAGGTAATAGGTATATGTTATCATACCTATTATCAGACTTAAATGTAATAACATTATCCATGTTTTTTCATGGGTTAGAATAACATGTTATTTAAACTATATTTGTGGTAATATACCATTTTACCGGTTATGACGGTTACTTCGAAAACTTTGACATCACACTACCATGACCACGTCCTAGGTGGAAACTTTAAGCTTGTGTAATCAAAAATAATTTAAACAATTAGTAATAAAATATATTAGATTATAATCATTTATAAGTGTTTGACTTTTTCCTTTCCATATTTATATTATTATAGGTACCTAATCATTGTAACTACTATCACATTAATCAATTTTAGATTTTCTAACAACGAGATTAAAGTAAAATTATAACTGTATAATATATTTTATGACCAGAAAATGAATAAATATATTGTGTTATATGACTATCGGTGCCTTTTCGTGCCTTTCATTGTATATGGTAAATCACAAATGTCTGCATTTTGCAACGGGACATATTATACAGTTAAGTCTCGTGAACCCAAAATGTACACCTAATCGAGTCAAAAAAATGTAAAAAAAAAAAAAACATTTTCCTTCCAACTTTAAAGATTTAGAACTATTAATACCCGATAT